AAATATGAATATTATAATGGTGTAGAGTATTCTTTAGATGAACATGTTTAACTAGATGTAATATTCTAGTTATTGTTTTAGTGTAGTATTCCAGTGTTTTAGTGTATTGTGTACTGTATTAAAATTGACCATACTGTGAAGTCATTGCCAAGGCGTTGTGACGCCACATTAACCTATACTAACACTTTTCAGTCGACAGCACTAATAAATCACTGCCAAATTTATTATTATTATTGTTGTTGTTGTTGTTGTTGTTGTACTTCTGAGCAGCTAATTTACATGAAACCAAAACTCAAACTTATCTTCTAAGCATTATTTTTTGTTGAGGAAATGAGGCATTTATGAGCTCATCTAGCAATTTATGCTGTATTCAGTTAGAATGAATTAGCGTGTTAGTAAAATGCCACCGGCAAACAGAAATTGTTAATAGAAACTGTTAATAATTGTGTGAATTGTTAGTGCTTAAAGCATTCTAATACGCGTTTATGCTTTAACAGTTCATGAACATGAAAAGACTCTATAGGTCTTACAACATTTTTATATTCAAATTGTAGATAAATACGTTTTTATAATAAATTATAATTATTGGTGTGGCTTATTTGTTAAGTTTGCTATGAGTGCCTATAATTTTAAATCAACGTTAATACCAATTCAAATTATTCAATCAAATATTCTTAAATATTTAAATCTCCAATCCAAATACATGAGATCAACTAGTCGCCTTAAATAAATCCTCACATAATGCTTGTTGGTCTGTAAAAATTGAAATTAACATTCGCTTTTTGTTTTGACTAAATCCATAAAATTTTTTATTACCACTTGAAAGCGATGTTTTGACGGGTTCTGTGATATTAACCCAGAAACATGATGTGTGTGATTCACAGTCGCAATTACTATTTTTTTCGCGGGTAGTTGAAAAGTTTCAATTCGAAGGGAGCTCCACTGAAATACGCTAAAGTAAATAAATACAAACAATTTTGAGGTTTTTAGGGTATCTTTTGGCTCACACTTTTCCTATTTTTTGAGTTGTTTTTGAGTGGAAATTCAAGCAAAAGCTTCAGCAAAATCAAACATTCTTTACGTTTTGCTCAAAATAAACTCACAGTTATTCAAAATTAAGTGCCGAGATTTTGTAAAAAGGTTGTTCGAGTTAACAAAGTTAAGTTAGACAAATTGTTACCACTTTTATTAATGATTTAATTATGTTTTTGTTGTATGGAACGTAGCAGCGGTTTTTAAAAATCTCTAATGAAGTCATCGTTCAAAAATTATTTTTAGTTCGTTTCGTAGTTGAGAAAAAAAGATAAAAAAATAGTTTGTTTGCAGGAAACAAACCAAATATCTTATAGAAATATAAATATAGATATATATAAATGATAAAATTTAGAAGGCAAATTGATAAAGTATGTACTTAAAGTTATTTTATATTTTTTTATCAATTTTATATTGTAAAAACATTTGACATTCATTATAAATTATAACATATATAAACAAAACGACACTAGTAAATAAAAAAATAAAATTCCAATTATATAATTCTGTCTTACATATATAAATACAACTGATTTATCAAATATCAAATATCAGTAAAAAAAATAGAAATTCTTAAATAGTCTTAATAGATAAAACTCAACTAGTATAAAAGAGAATAAGAAGTATAATAGTATAATAAGAAAGTATAGCAATTCTAGGTGAATACCCAGATTCCAAGAAGAATCTAAGAAGACGAATTGGTGGTGTCACCAACAAGTAAACATTTTTCTTTCTTAATGAATTTAAATACGGGTAAGTCAACTTATAATCGAATAGTCACTAATATATGATGAAATCAAAAGTTTTCAAACCAGTACCCTTCTTTTAAATTAGAAAAAATATCTCTCAGGTTCAGAAGGCCATCCATATTGAGTTACACATTCTTCTTTCTTAAGAAATATGAATAGGAATAATTGAACGTATTGTTGAAAAGTTAATTTACAGATTTACGGTGAAGTTGAAAGTTCCTTCAACAGAACTATGCAAATTTAGATCAAAATTCTTTCAGATTTATTAAGAAAACAGAAAGTTAAACTCATTTCTGCCTTAAGAAATATAAACAATATTAATATGAATATGAATTTCATGAACATATTGTCGAAGAGTCATTAATTTATGTTGAATTTATACCTAAGCTCTTACAATAGAATCCATCTAATTTAAACCGAATTTCCTCCAGATCCATTAAAAAAGTCATCCATTTTGTTCTGAGATATTACTGAGAGTTATACATACTTATTCTTTAATAAATACGAAAATGTATGAAAGAAGTTATTATTAAAGACGCAGTGACATGAGATTTAAAAGCTTTCAGTAATAAAAGCATTTATAAGGTGACAACAACGGTGGTCGTGTAGTGTCTTGAAAGACTAAATACACTAGGCCGGTATAATCACATAAAGAACATAACGGTTCTGGGTCACCGAACTCTTTTCAGGAAAGGAACAGCTCGTAGATCTATAACTATTCTGTGGCTTAAGAAGAGATAATTCAGACAGAAAAGAATAATTAGAGAAGGCTTTACTGAAACAATCTAATTGAGCTATTATAATCAAAATCAAAACGGTTTGAGGATACTACGCAATGAAGTAAAAACAGTTTGGGAATAATTACTGGAATTCTGACTTATGAAACATGGGATTTTTTGTGATAGAACTAGTAGATTTTATAGAAGAAAAAATGTGACCGCTGAACAATTGGTGATATAACATATAAACGAATGATATAGTGGGGATTTTATATTGGTTAAAAAAAAGAGTATTCGGTAAAGTAGGCTGTAAGTACTGTAATATACCCTTAAATGCGGTTTGGATATATGTTATTAATAAATGAAGGTATCTACTTAAACAATGCGAAATTCCCTCACTTAATAATTTTAAGAATTAAGTAATATTTTATATAGGAACTTTAATATAAAATTTTTACAATATTAAAAATCAGTGTTATATTTTACATTAGATGTAAATAGAAAATGGATATGGTGTGCATATATGAATATGGAATTGATTCTAAAAATCCATATCGCATATTAGAGAAATCATTTTTAAAAACGTGTAAACGTTCTTCGAAAATAGAATAGAATTCTAACTAAACTTAAAAGATACGCTTATATATTGAGACGCAATGAACTGCAGTTCATAGAATATATGAAATTCAGGCCACTGGAGAAAGGAATCCATGCAAAGAAAATTCAAATATCTCTTAATCTTCTTAATTCGTTTATCTCCTTGTGGAGCATAGGGCCTTATAGAAATTTTCTGAATTCCGCCAAATAGTTACTGGTTACTAAGACGTGAAAGATACAATCGCACAACCTTTGTGATTGTTCAAAAATTAGCTACCCATCGGTCATTATGAAAGATTTACTAGACAACGTTGCGTTGAAAACCACAACGAATCGTTGTTTTAAAACGACGAATAATTGTTAATTCAGAGAAAGGGCAGCCAACTCACTAATCTATCTATTGAAAATTGACTATTTTTGTAGAGTATATAATAAATATTAAATTATTAAGTAATACATATAATGCTCTTTAATATTATTTAAAAATATCTATACTTTTTAATTGTTGGAAAATGATATAGATATAATTATTATTAACTTGAAAGAAATTACTTTCATATAAATTTTAATCAGGCTTTAGAATTTATGGGGCAATAAAATTGTTTTATTTGAAATATTTTTGTTTGTTCTATCTCTAGTCTTTATTTACGTGCTCATTTCAAAACCACTCAAGCTTCCTAGTTCTCACTCAAAACAAATAAAAAGACTCAAAATCAAATTCATGAAAGACTTTTCCCTTAGCTTTTTTACGTTTTTCAATTTTGCCTGATAGACAGTTGAGTTCGAGCTGCTTTTTTGTACAGTACAAGTGCGAAAATTTCCGAGTAATTTAAACAAAAATAAATAAACAAAATAAAATAAAAACAATACAAAAATTTTGTTATAAAAATATTTAATATTGTGCAGTAAAAAAAAATGTAAGTTGTTAAAAAAAAATAAACATATTAATTTTATATTAAAAACAAAAGTGCGCAAAAGTTATTTAGTAAATTTTAAAAATTTAAAAAAACACAGGAATATTTGAGTGAATATGAAGTGCATTTATGAAATATATATAAATTCTTTAAACAACATATCCTTATTAATATATGGATATTCCAGTTACTTTATTCATGACCTAAATTGAGTTTTATCTGAAGCAATGTTGAGCATCTTCACTTCCGCTTTCAAAAAGCATCTCATACTTCCTTGTTTTGAAGTGAAGCATCCTTTTAGGGGCGCAGGAGCGTGCATATAAGTGTACTTGCTGTGTTCGTCATATGAATGTAATCATTAAAGGATCTATATATGTATATATATATTTAAACAAAACTATATATATGCATCCATATCTTTTGCGTTATTTGCAATCTGAATTGTTTGTACATATATTTTTGATAACAAACATGCGCATTTCAAACAATCTTCACAGTGGGCCCATTCGGTGGTATGATGTCATATGGTGTCATAATATATAATGAATGTTGAATGTGTATCTTGGACCTGAGACTATAATTTGTTGCTTATTTTGCCAAGCACACCCGTTTTTTGCATCTTTTGCAACGATTTAGGCAGTCAATGTTTAGTGTAATTTTTTACATAGTTTTTTGTTGCGAAACAGTGAAAGTCTTTCGCTTATTTGTAGGAAAATGTTGTATGTGGACACTGGCTTCTTACTTCCTGGTAGACTTAGTAGGTTTTTGAACTATTATTTTTAGCGTGTTTTGTGTACATTTCTCAGTTTTTGCATATCATGCATAATTAAAAATTTATGTTTTTCCCAGTAGCATTTTTAATCTCTTTCCTTAATGTCCTTTTA